ACTTTTTAAAATTGATTTTACCTCGGGCTCCACTTCTACTATTGTGCTTCACTATATGTCGAGATGATGAGGCCATGTTTAGGGGACGAGTTGATGAGTTTAAAGCCCCTCTCATTGTGTTGACAAATGCTTCCTCACCTTCCAAATGTTGCGAATTGCCGCCATCAACATCAGGCTCTCCTACAAGTGGCTCAGAAACGTCACCTTCCTCATTATTCTCTTCCAAACTCTCCTCAAATGCACCGCGGGCACGCCTACTAACAAACGCTTCGTAGTAGAGCTCATAGTTCTTGAGGGGATCCTTACTTGCACGCTTCACCCACTTGTGTGTCTATTGAAGACATAAACAAATAAAGCAATCTCTAGTGGCCACCAAAAAGTATAAAATGCAAAACAAAAGATCCATAAGGCAAACTATGCGTTTCCTTGAAGTAGATTATGAAAGTCAAATCAGCATTGTCAATGACGCAGCCCCTAAGGCTCAAGCCTATGCCCCACAACCCCTCAGGCCCCCGCAGGCTCTAATGGCCAAGGCCCCCATCCCCCCAGCCCCTAAGGCGCAAGCCCAGCCCCGCAAACCCTAAGCCCCCCGCGCAGCACCTAAGGCCCCCGCAGGCCCTAACGCATGAGCCCCCCAGCCCTCCTAAGGCCCCTAATGCCCCTGTTATGCAGCCCCTAACACCGAAGCCTCCCTGGGCCCCCTGCCCTTAAGGCCCCAGCTCCGCAGCCCCTAACACCGAAGCCCCCATGACCCCCCAGCCCCTAAAGCCCCAACTCCGCAGCCCCTAACACCGGAACCTCCCTGGCTCCCCAGCCCCTAAGGCCCTCGCATGCCCTAATGCCCGATCCCTCCAGCCCATAATGCACCCGCATGCGCTAATGACCGAACCCCACAGCCCCTACCCCTAAGGCCCCAGCTCCGCAGCCCCTAACACCAAAGCCCCCATGGCACCCCAGCCCCTAACGCCCCAGCTTCCCAGCCCCTAACACCAGAGCATCCCTGCCTCCTTAGCCCCTAAGGCACCCGCAGGCCCTAATGACCGAACCCCCCAGCCCCCCTAAGGCCCCCGTGCCCCTAAGGCCTCAGCTCCGCAGCCCTTATGGCCTAAGGCCCCTGCCCCTGAGGCGTAAGCCCCCTGGCCTTGACCCTTCTAATGCTTTCCCACTTTGGAAATTTGAATCATGTTAAATTTCATGAACAAAAAAGCATATGAAAAAGGAAATTAGGGAGTACGTATGTCATATACTAATCTCACAAAAATCATTCCAATATTCGTCAATGCAAGTTGGGATATTCTTGATTTGATCCCATCCTAGTCCGGTGTTTGTGCGGAGGGCGAGCTCCGCGTTGAATTTTTTCTTCAGTCGTTACTTTGCCTCTTTAACGCGCCTTGGAGGAATAGGTGATGAAAACAGTGGAGACAAATCTTTCGCCCATTGTTCCCAATCCACCGATTCAGGTTGATGGCCCCTGTTGTTTTTATTGTAGTCCGCAAGTTGCTTTAAAAGCGCAACTTTTTGTTTCTCAGACCAATAGAAGGTCACGTTATCCTCACTCCCTCGCGGCATCTAATACATACAATCCAACACCACCAACCATGAGAACAAAGAGACATATGCCACGGCAAAGAAGAATGAATGTTTAAAGTAAAACATGTCAACTCATTTGACAATAAAGGAGTAAGAGGATTAAAGTACATAATCGTTTGATTAGCTCAGATTTGGTTATAATTGTATCATCACATAGTTTCGGAGTATTATCCTCCTGGGATGGCACTTATGCTACCAAACCACATAGTAATAGGCCAGGGATTTAAAAGCATAGTTCATAATGCAAAAACAAACGACAACATATGGCATTCAATCCAAACAAACCTAATTACATGCAGTAGCAACTGATAAATGCCATACACCAAGAGGATATAGCTACAACGAAACAGATAGGCCCAAAAAATCATCACTGCCAAAGTACTAAATCCAATAAGAACAAAGAGTTCATCTGCACAACAATGCCATGTGTAAAGTCATGGGTGAATTGTACTTAAGTTTTGCACTCTAAAACATAACCAGTGGCATAACAAGGGGGCTAAACATCTTCAAGTGAATGAAAGTAAGCAAATTAACTACTTCTTAGAAATCGTGGGTAAGTTATACTTAAGTCTTTAACCCTAAAACTTGACCATCGGCAGAAACAAGGGATTGAACATCCTCAAATGACAGAAACTAAAGCAAATTGACTACTTCTTATCAATCATGGGTGAATTATACTTATGTCTTTCACTCTAAAATATGACCATCGGCAGAAACAAGGGATTAAACATGGTCAAATGACAGAAACTAAAGCAAATAAACTACTTCTTATCAATCATGGGTGAATTTACTTATGTCTTTCACTCTAAAACATGACCATTAGCAGAAACAAGGGATTAAACATGGTGGTATATGACAGAGCTGCATTTCTTAGCATATACATGTTTTTGTGGTAGCCAAGAATCAATCAAAAAATTATTTTTCGATGGCCTCTATTTCAAGTTCATCAGAAAAATGGTGAATGAAATGGAAACCAAAGGTAAAGGGTGAATTGATTTACTGAGTTGGATCCAGTCGATGAATGTGTTTGCTCCTCCAACAAAAACCTTAACCGTGATGTCAATTCCCTACCGGAATTTCTCCACCGGCGATACCGACCGCGGAAAAAGCTCAGATGAAGACGACGGTGCAGAGATTGACGTCACCGGTTGCGACTACATCTACCTAAAAGAACGGCCAACATAGTCCGCCGAGAGCATCTAGGTCGCGCTATTTTCTTCGTTTTGGGCGAAGCAGGGATGAACTCGGAAAGGGATCCTTGCTCAAAAGAAGGTAAATATTTTGAACTCCAGCACGAAAGAAACAGGGGAAGACTCTCGATTCAAGATATTTGTAGAGAATCTCTCCTGCGGATGATGGGAATCGCACGCATGGAGAGACCGGTCGGTGGGAATAGGAAAGGAGGCAGAGCAACGGTAAGGAGGAAATGGATCCTCGCTCAAAATCTGTAGAAGTCCAACACGTGAGAGAGGGGGAGACTCTAGATTCAAAAAGATTGCAGCGAATCTCTCCTGTGGATGATGGGTGGAGAGACCTGTCCGTGGAGCTCAGAAAGGAGGCAGAGCAACGGTAAGGAGGATATGAGTTGTGAGGTAAAAGCTGTGAGTTGTGGCAGATGGCTTTTACTGTAGCCATGGGTTGGAGTTAATGGAATACAGAGGGGGGTTGAATTCCCAATTCGGGCATTTAACTCGAGTTCCAATTCGAGTTATAATCGTGACTATTCTTTCTGAACGCCAACTTGAGTCAGAGTTTCAACTCTAATTGGCCCAATTTGAGTTAAACCCACAAAGTGAACACACCCTAGACTATTGCTTAAAAATAGTAAAAGTTTATAATGATAAATGATGACGTACCCAAATGATATTAATGAGACAAGACATTTTTACATGATATATGAATTTCACAAAATAAATCATAAATATATATTTTATCTAATACAACATAACTTACTTAAACCTAAAATCTTTTTAAAAAGAACCGTTTAAATCTTTTTTAAAAAGAACCGTAGTTTTTACTATGTGGGTAAACTTAGTCATGGCGCTTATATCAAAATATATGAAATTTCATGTAGCACAGTAGCAATTATTGCACATTTAAGGTGATGTTTCACATGGACAAAACAGAAAGAAACAATCGTAGTGTTTTCTCGACTCTTTTTCCCCAACAACATGAACATAACTGAAAAAAAAAAAAAAAAAAATTTTTTTTTTTGCAGAGATGTTTCATTATGACCTCCAATGGTCACGGGCCAGTCTATTAAAGTTGATATGGAAATCAATACAAGCTATGAAAACGGGATCAAAATGTTTCTTTGAGTTTAGACATTAGACCGAGCAGATTTGACATAAAATTCTTTGGACTTAAACGTGTTACCTAATCCCATAAACTGCATTGTTTATAGTTTGACTTTGTTCGGGAATAACTTTTTAGCTTTTATTTCAACTACTGTGAGTTGACAATGCAACCTCTTTCAGTTGAAAGAATCCAATGTTCTACGTTGCACTTTCAATCTCAATCTCTTTCGACTGCCCTTATCCTTAATAAAAACCAAAACAAAAGGAGAGATTCTATCGTATTTGATAAGTTAAGTTTTTTTAATCATTAAATTTATATTTTTTTTTATTTTTATGTGATTTTATATAAATTTAACATATAAAAAATTTAATTTACTGATGTGTTAGTGCACAAAAAATTAATAGTCATTTACTTGTTATCTTTTGACTGAGTTTAGTAGAGATTTTAGAAAGTCAAAATCAATTTTTTGTTCAATTAAAGCTGTTTAATGTGTTTAATAAACACTTTTAAAATTAATTTTTAGAGAATTTAAAAACAATTTTAGGCTGATGCTTCTTGTGCGGGAATCTATTTGAGCCATTAATAAAATTTTCGTTATCCCCAAAATACCCCTACTGAATCAAAAAAATTCTCAGCCCCTCATTTCTTTCTGCTCCTTCGCCATCTCTCCTCTCTGAAACCGAACTTTCTCAGCCAAAGCTCTCTCAGCCTCAGCCTTGCTCTCTCAGGTCCCTCCGTTTATCTTTATTCAGGAATAATCTCAATCCCAACCCCAACAACTCCAACTCCCCTTCAGTGCGCGTCCTAGCCCGCCCGTCGCCACCATTATCATCGTCTTCGTCTTCTTCATCTTCATCATCATCATCTTCTTCTTCTTCAAATTCCCAACAAAGTCCGGCCATTAATGGCGGCGTGGTGATGGTGGGTTTCATCGGCCGAAGATGCCCCTCCATAACCACCCATCTGATAAACCGGATTTTGGACTCCCACGTCTTCGGCAACAATCTCGACACCAATCTCATCTCCGACAAACAAGAGGACTGGTTCAAGTGGAAGAGAATCAGTTATTTCCATCAACGCCAAATGGGCATTCTCTTCTTGCACTTCTCTTCGGTTCTCTGCCCTGGATTTGATGATGGGTTTGGTTCCGCCACGGAAGACGACCACGACTTTTTGGGGACCTCCAAGGCCTCTTGTTCATGTTCTCTGTGAGTTTTTCTTATTTATTTTTTCTTTTCTGTTTTATTATTGTGCTTTTTAGTTTTTGCATTTTTGTGGAACTATTGAACTTTTTTTTTTTTTTTTTTTCCCATGATTTTGATGTTCTCAATCTAAGATTAGGAGAATGGAGTGTTTTTGTTTTTTGGAATAATTTCTTGTGTTTAGACTTTAGAGGCTGTTTTATGTGATAAGATGGGCACAAATATTTTTAGCAAAAGAAAAATTAATTATGTGTCACTATTTTTCATATTCAATATAGTCGTTTGAGAGTATGCTTAATAAAGGAAAAATGTTTAAAAAGAGAGTTGTGTCTGTTTTTTTGTATCGAAGAAGGATTTGAGGTTTTGATGAAAAAACAAAAGATGAGAAGTTAATATATCCTGCAATAACTCGCCTAGCAATGCAGGTTTGCCATGTTATAATACATATTCAGGAGGGGTCCCGCTTTGATACTCAACTGCTGAAGATGTTTCGAGTATTGCAAGCCGCCAAGCATGCTTTGGCTCCATTTGTGAGATCCCAAACAACATCTGGATTGCCATCTAGGCCGGCTTCGTCGTCGTCCTCACGATCAACCACATCGACACCTGCCTCGAAGAGTTTATCTCCCGTATTGACTCGTAACGCTTCTGTGGTGTCGCTAATGCCAGGTTTAGGTTCATACACCTCTTTGTTTCCGGGGCAATGTACCCTGGTGATGCTGTTTGTTTTTATTGATGATTTCTGTGATGTGCCAATTCCCAGTTCTAATGTTGAGGAGTCAACCGATGCATCCCAGTTCTTACGCATAGAATAACACTTGAGATTCCCTTAAAAGGGCCTGTGCTTTTAGTCATACTTTGTAAGTTAGATTACTGATATATATGTATATATATATATATATATATATATATATTTCTGAAAAAAATTGTTGGACTTCTTTATTTTTGTTTTAGATGACTTTTAGTTGGACTGTTTTTGAAGTTGCATTTCTTTTCAAAAGAAAAAAGAAAGATGACTAATAATCCTTTTATTTCATGCATGGCTGTTGTTGCAGTAGGAAAGTTACAGGCTTACATTTCTTTAACATGGAAAAAGGAAATTTTTTCATGTGAACATTCAATTAACAATGCCTGAATGTCGGTTTTTCTTTGCAGGTCACACCACCCTTCCCGATTGTATTAGCAACATGCCCAGTTATACAATTCGAGGTATGTTGAACCTCCTCGCAAGAGTTGTAGAAGTATCAGCACGTTTTATTTATACATTACATCATTTATTTGCAAGCGAAATGCATCTCTGTTACTTGTTTAATACTCGACCCATTAATCTGTTCCTAGACACAAATTTACCCAGTGGTGGTATTTTTCTGTCCAAACTGCTATGACAATATTCTCATCCAATTGTGTATTTCAAAAGCTTTTAACAAATAGCTTGTTGGTAAATGACATAACCATCCATGGCTGAAAGATATGAATGTAGCAGTGACATGCGAACTCACAAACGGAAATGGACAACTTGGTGATGCTAAGACTTTTCTTTTTTTTTTCCACTTTGCATTAAAATAAAGTGTGATTTAGCCAGCCTAGAAGAACATCATTTGAATAGCTTAATGTATCTACTCTTAATGCATCTCACATCATTATAATTATTACAACAACTCAGCATAACATAAAATTCTTACCCACTGCAACGCGCGGATATATCACTAGTGATCATCTATAATATTAGAGGTATTATTTAAGCAAAAAGTGGCATCAAACTTTCACTTGTCACAAGCCTATATACACTTGCTTATGGCCACGTAAGCCTACCACTTTACATGTGGTGGTTGGTAATAAACCTATGTTAGCTTACTTTTCCACCAAGTGCTTTGCCGACTTTGTAATTGTGACTGAATTTATACATACATGAGGTGGTTGGTAATTATGTTTGTAGGCATATATGTGGTGTGTATGGATATATATATTTGCAAGAACTATTTTTTTTATTTGCTCTTTTTTCTTGTGTATGGATATCAATGGGTGAATTTGTTTATTTACGCGTGTGTATGGATATCAATATGTTTGAAATGTTCTTTATTTGTGGTCCTATAATTAATTATCATTTGGTTTAGCCCGTTTCTTGGCATGAAATTTCTCAACAAATTTATCATATTTTTTTGCATATTTTTTAGAAGAACCCCACCAAAATTGATAATTATGGTATTTGGTTGCGTTATCAAGACTACAACTGTCCCTGCCAAGCTTTGCAAGAGAGAGAGCACAAAATAATTCCATAACTCGAAGCTGAAGACCACATACAGGCATCAAGGCTCAACTTGTTTATGTAACTTGGTCATTTGACGATCAAACTTTTAACTTGTTTATGGAATGTACATTTTTGTTCAATAAATTGATTACTCACTAATGCTCCTTTTAGTTGTAATTATTTTGTGAATGAAGAAATGAAAAAAAAAAAAAAACCTAATTATCATAAATTTATTGTTAAAAAACTCAAAATCATAACATTATGTTTTTTTTTTTAAGTTAAACAAGTATTTCTAAATACCAAAAACAATTATATATATTTAAGTTTCATACTATGTCTATTTTAGTCATTTTACATATCCAGAGCAATTCAACCTCAAAATTTGCTAAACGTTATTACACTGATTTTAGAACCAGCACAGCTACTATAATTACAGTTTACCAAGCACTCAACTGTTTTTTGTAACAACTGATTCTTCCTTCAGCACAACTAAAAGTAATTTTTCTAAAATTCACAACACTACCAAACTAAGCCTTTGTCTTTCAGGTTTTTCCGGAGTTAGCGAGTAGTCCATTTGTGGTGTAGAATTGACTGACTAGATTTACACCAACTGCTTTTAGTATGTTGTGAGGGAAAGCAAAAGCAACATTATATTCCATACCAATCTAAATATTCAAAAGTTCATTACACCTTCTACGGCAATACATTAACATTTTCTCTAGTGCTAATCAAATCTTTAATCTTTACAGGTAATCAAAAGTGAGATAATTTGGATGTGGATAATACAAAGAAAGACGCAGGAATGCGAATTTACAATTTTAATTTATTTGTATATTCTATGTGGGGTGTGATGATTAGATGAATGCTTTTTCAGAAGACCAAATCCTCCTAAATCCGGCCATAGTGAAGAGAATATTTCTTGGAACCCACTGATCAATTCCGCCCTTCAACACCAGATTATGCAGCCCTGTAGTATATTCGAGCCACCAACTTTGCTTACCGGCCCTTTGTACATGAGACAGTTTAGACGCTGATGTAGATCAAAGATACCAGAGTGGCAGCACCGAAGAGTTAACTATAATCTCTTTGGATTAACATTCACTTTCAATCCTCTGAAGGAGCTCTAAAATACTTCCAGCTTTTCTCTTGGCCCTATCCGTCCCATTCTCCGACAGTTCTTTCAAAACCTCTTCTGCACCAAGTTCCCTCGCTAGTTTCAGCTGCTGCGGATCACCAATGAATAGTGACCACAACACAGCAGCTGCATTCTCCCGGTTGCGTGGGGAACCAGTTCTTACAACCTCCACCAGAACGTGGATTGGCTCAGCTTGGCTAATTGCCGTCTTCCCTTCTTGGTGACTGGCAAGAATGGCCAGAATTGCGAGTGCCTCATCTACCATACCCCCTCCTGCATCCTTTAGCAATCTCATAAGTGGATCTACAATACCGGCCCTTACAGCCCTGGCCTTGTTTCCCTGATAGATTGAGAGATTAAAAATAGCAGTGGCAGCATCCTTTTTCCCTCTAGGAGTCCCCTCACAGAGCAATTTTATAAGAGCAGGGATAGCCCCAGCTGCTCCTATAGCAACCTTGTTCTCATCGACGACGGATAAACTGAAAAGGGTCGCAGCTGCATTTTCTCTAGCCTCCATGCTTCCATTTTTCAACACGTCCACTATATCGGGTATAGCTCCGGCATTTACAATTGATGCCTTGTTAATATCGTTTATTGAAAGGTTGAGAAGCGCTGTAACAGCATGCTCCTGGGTTCGAGGATCAGGAGAGGATAGCAGTTCAACGAGGAGTGGAATAGCTCCTGCCTCAGCAATGCATACTCTGTTATCTGCATTCCTCTTTGCCAGCAGACGGAGCTCACCAGCAGCTGCTCTTTGTTGCTCTGGATCTCCGTTTGCTAGCTTTTCCAACAACACATCAATAGCAGCCCGGTCACAGTCTGAGATAGAGCTTCCGCATTTCTTGCTTCTACAATTTCCTTGTGTTTTTGGCAGCTCAACACCATTGTTCTCACACCACAAAGCAATCAAACTTTTCAGGACGTAGTTAGGTGTCAAGGCCGTGTGCAATAGTGTTTGCTGTGTCTTGGGGCAGGTTTTATGCCCAGCTTCCAACCACTTTTGAATACAGGATCTTTCATATGTCTGCGAAAAAGGAAGCAGTACAATAAAAATCACAGCAAATCAATAGATAAGCCAAAATTTACAAATGCAATTGGCGAATAATACCTGTCCGGTAGAGACAATCACAGGATCTTTCATCAGTTCAAGCGATATTGGGCACCTAAAATCATCTGGGATAACAGGAGATCTGTGCTTAACCATGCCCTTATCCCCGGCAGGGGCGTCGCTTACTGGGTTCTCTAACAGTACATAGTCCATTAACTTCTTAAGCAGTGATGACATCTTTTGAAAAGACTCCCCTGGATTTCCATCACTAAAGATTACCAATTCGTGGAACGCAACTGACTCCAGTTTTAGGTCATTGACAGTCCTCAGATGTAGCTTTTCCGAAAGCCTTTTCAGTATTGCAGGGTCAGGGTCATCTTCATTCTCGGCCATGGCTAAATCCATATCCAGTCGTGAGTCTAGTGGCTCTGTTCTTTCTTTTGCTCTTTTGAATTGAGAATGCACAAGCTCAATCTGAAATAAATAAAATTGGCCCCATAACTTTCATTAATACTTAGTAATATACTAAATCATGAATACATTACTGCCCTTACAATTACAAATAAATACTTCGACATTAACCGATTTTATTGGCTTGTAGAATTACCTGTTCTCGAACTTCATCCGATATAGCAAATTTCTTATAAGGAATCTCAACCAGTGCTGCTTCAATTTGTTCTGTCACGTTGTGGAACTTATTTGCAATCTCGTCGCGATGGAAAGCCTTTAATACATTTTTCGAAACGAAAAGGATTGTTATCGACAGTAACATAAAAGGAATTAGCAGCATAAATCTTGGTACAGATACTACTCGAGGTTTAATCTGTGTTTACACTCAATTATATTGTCGATCACATTACTATTAATATATATACACATACATACATATATATATAAGAAAGAAGAAATATGACACAGGAGATCAAGGGGGGAAAAAAAAGAAAAAGAAACACAGACTATATACTATGTAAAACATTTAAAATAAAATAAAAAAATGGCAAAGACGATGAAAAATGCGTAAGATTTACTTTCTAATACAATTTCAGATCCCAAAATGAAAAGAACAGAACGTAAGAGTCGCAATATTAACCCAAATATTGGAAGGAAGATTTTCTAACTCAGTAATTAGATCCCAATACTAACCCAAATATTTGCTTCAATACAATTAATAAAAAGAAAAAGAAAAGGGTTTGGCTTAAGACTTAAGCTTTCTCTTTTAATTTTCTCTCAATCTTTCCCCCAAAGTTCAAAGCTTTTCATGAAATCTAAAAATCACCACATGTTTGGTTGCTTAGAAAGTGAAGGAAAGTAGAATTCCGGCATCCAAATAACCCTCCAAAAAACCCCCCACGCACTTATTTGAATCGCAATTTCCACTTTTTTCAACCAAAATCCAATATTCCTTTCAATTTTCAGCTTAGCAAAGAAAAATTAACGGGGGGAAAACGTGAAGAAAATTATTCACCTGAAAAATCTTGCTTCCCTGATTCACCGATTCGATGAGCTCCTTGGTGGAATCCAAAGCGAGTTTCAGAGACTCCAAAGCTTCCATTTCTTCATCGCCGATCGCTTCGTCGCCGTCTCTCAATTCCTCGAACATCGGGCTCAGCAGCTTCACTCGCCGCACCAAATCCCCGCTCGTCCTCTTGAACGCGTTGCGTGACTCAGGCAACTCGGATGTCGCCTTCACCGAGTCAACGAGTTGACTCAGAACCGAGTTTCGCGAGTCTTCCCCCATCCGGCGCGAAAACTGGCCAAAGACGAACGAGAAACAACTGGGGAGAGATTGGATTGAGATTGCAGTGTCGGAGGGACGCTAGCCGCGGGAAGGGTAAAATCGGAAATTGAAAGCCGCCATGGAAGTTCAAATGAAGGTTGGTGTTATACTTTTGAAGTTTTGCGTCTGTACATGAGAAAAGTAGTTCAGGATTTAAAAGAAATATTTTGTATTTTATAATAATAATAATAAAAACTTAACACTAATAAATGTTTGTCATTAATTAATTTTTTAGATCATAATAATTGACTTAAAAGTCTGTTTAAAAGAAATAAGAATGATTACCAAGGCGTTCTAGGAATGGAATTGGGATGATGTCACTTGTGAGCAAAATAATTGTTCCCCTATTGACTATTTTGTCCTTTTATTTTTTTTTATTTTTATTTTTTATTCAAATAACAATAATTTTACGCTCAATTTTTTTTAAAAGAGATGATATTATTTATTCTCTTAAAAAGTTTATGTAACAAAAACGAGGTCACACTTACAAGGAATGGTATCCATGAGCAAGTCAAATGGTGTTTAAATTGCTTCATGTGATTTGAATTTTTTTTTAAACCAAAGTAGGCCCAGATTCGTTTTTGTCATCCTAGATAGGTAAAATTTTTAATGAGAGACAATTCCTTTCTTTGAATGATTCTCTGAATTGAACCAAATCAAAAAGCTAAAATGATTATAGGCAGCTCATCATTTTGAACGGAAAAAAAAATGCCTCTTGATCTTCCGTAACCAAGTCAAATCTTAAAACATTTAGTCTTTTTATTTTTAACGTTTCTTTTCTTTTCTTTTTTTTTTTAACTAGCAAAAAAAAAAATTTGTTAGTATAAGGGAATCGATCATATTAAAGAATGTAGTGAGAATAGTAATGAAATTAAAAATGAAAACAAAGTAATAAAATTGAAGGTCATTTATTCTCTTTCACGTATTTATTTAATTATTAGATAATGTAATAAAAAAAATTATATTATATTTTTTTATGTTTATTAAAATTAGGAATAACAATTTTATAAATGTAATTACTAAAATATTCTTTTACACAATTAAATAACCATTGATTGTATAGTAATTCATTAAGAATAGATAAGTAAATTTAGCATTCATTTCATTTGATAAGTAATCAATACTAAGGCTCCGTTTGGTTGGAGGGATGAAGAGTAGAAAGGATGGAGAGAGTTGGATGGATAAGGAGTAGGAAGGATGAAGAGGATTGTAGCAATCTTTCATGTTATTTAATAGGATGGAGGGGGAGTTGAAATGATCAATGACAATTTTTTGTTAAATTATTATATTATTTGTTTAAACTTTTTGTTAATAATTTAATCAGAAGGTAAAATAGTCTTTTAAAACTAAAAGTAGATAGATTGCTGATCTAATTTGATGGGTTATGAAGGAGAGCACACCCCTCCATCTCTCATTTCTCTCCTCCTCTCCCCCCAACCAGATAAGAGATGTGACCTCTCCCTTCACTCCATCTCTCCCTCCTACCAAACATGCTTTCTCTCCCTCCTACCAAACATACTTTAAAGGGATGCAAGGATTATATTTTTTTTTTCTCATTTTCTATATTCTGTGAGACTTACTAAATCTCTATTATTAATTTTATAAGTAAACACATTATTAAATAAAAAAGAAAATTATTATGTATTTCTCTTTTTCTTTTTATGCAAAGTAAACATACCTAAAGAGTAATTCGTTTGCTATTAACACACACGATTACACAAAAAGGAAATTATAGAGAATTTGTGTTAATAGAATTTATTTTTAATTTCCTTATACTTTTCAACTAGATCCTATTATAATATATCGGAAATGCTTCTGAAATGATACTTTCTTCTCTCATGAAAGCGTCTTTTTTTTTTTTTTGCTTTTTTGTAAAACATCAAACGGAAGCTTAAAGTAGCTTTCATGTAAAAATAATCTGATGAAATTACCATGTGCAGGGTGAAAGATTATGACCCAAAAACCACTGCTTGATTCTGTTGGGATTTTGGTTTTGATTTGTTTTTCGGATTTCATTAGTTTTTTAATTGTTGCCGTTACTTTAGTTATGTTTTGGTGATGGATTTGATTGAAGATTAAATAGCACCTGTTAAGTTTATTTAGAAACTGTTTAGAATTAATAAAATCAATTTGATTTGATTTGATTAAAGTCAACTTTTGAGTATCTTTGATAAGTTAAAAATAGATAAGTTGATTGATTTGCTACAGAATATTTTTTTTGTAAATTGATTTACTGCAGAATATCTGTTTTGAGAAGTTTCTAATTTGAAGAAATCTGGTTTGGTAAAAATCAAATGCATTTAAAGGTTTCCTATGTTGGAGATGCCAACTTTATCACGATGTAGAAACTTGGATTTAAATGGAATGAATTTATGCAAAAGAAATCTTCTCTTACTACTTAAGATGTCCAGATTCATGGAACATTTATTTAAAATTTTCAAGATCAAAAAAGTTGATTTGTTTGCGGAATCATCACAGCTCTGTTACAGTATTTATTGCAACAAAATCTGTAACCGATCGTTGACAACGTATTACATTGAAGATCTTTAACAACCGGTTTATTTGGCTATTTAATTAAGATGTCACATTAGTCTATGTATGTCCTTTGAGCCTCACTTTTATAGAGTTAGAGATTTTTGTGAGCACTTGTAATTTTCTTATTTCTTTAGGAGAAGGGATTTTGTTTTTCGGAAGAAAAACTTTGTTGAATGAATTTTAATTTTGTAAATCTAAGTAGTGTTCATTAAGTTTTTAATGAATTATTCATTATATGAGTGTGACCTCACAAATATAGATGGTTATCAAATTGCGATACTAATTTACCCTTTATTTATTGTTAACAAATTAAAAAACGAACTTGGTAAAAAGATTTAACCGGTACTTTCAGATTTTTTGAACTCTGAAGCTCTAAATAGTTTGGAAGAATTAGACTTCTTGCACACACACACACACACACACAAAATCGTCGCTCACTTGAGAAAAGAAAAGTAATCGATCAAAAGAATCAAGAAAGGATTTTAATTCAAGGACCAATACAACCATCCATTTTCCCATGCATGTCTTTATCAGCATGTAGTGAGAGCCTCCTACAAAATGAGCAGCAAAACGCCCAAAATCGAGTCTTCCCTTTGCTCACTTTGCATTGAGTCATTTTAAATGGCGCAGTCTGATTAATTATTAAGTAATGTGGTTATGTGTTATGCACTAGGATATTGCACATTCTTACATTTAACAATTTTCGTGTTCTAAACCAAATCAGTCTTGATCAAGCTTCACTATTTATTTAAAACGCGGTCGTCATTTTTGTTGTCCTATTTTATAATTGTTTTGATTTATCCAACACTGCTCTTTTATCCCATCCTAACATGCTAATTACGTCCAAACATGTTAAAAATAAAGCGGTCACGGTAGCACAATTAGGGCAGTCGTATCCATAAAGAGGAGGCAAATTAAACAAGAAATGATTAGCAAATAAAATGCATTAGGAGATAAATAATAAAATAAAATAAAGTTTTTGTTGAGAAGTTTAAGCGTATGAAAAATATATGAGAAACCTATGTAATTAAAACCGATAAGGCGTCGAGATTCCCTTATATGCTTTTGTTCACCTGATTGGATTTTAATTTTTAAGATTACTCAATTGAAAGTTTCACATCCTAAACTAATAATCAGAAAATAAATATTTAAAGAACATGTGAATTAAAATAAAATGTATTCGAGTGAGTAAAATTCTTACGATGAAAACTAATGAAAATTGTTCTTACAAGAAATCTTAAAGTGACAATATATCGTTGGTAATATTATAATAAAAGACTACTCATAAAATAATATTATTAAAATAATTATATTGAGCAACAATTACATAAAAAGAGCATGACTAAATTTATATAAATTGATAACAAAATATATTAATATGAGAAATTAGAAAAAGATAGAAGAAATTTAATCACTCAATTATATAAAATTTGAAAAATAAACGGAGAATCAAAATCCACTCAAGATCACTTCACATATAAGTTTCTTTGTAATCTCATCAAAGAATTTTAACTTAGCTTGCACATAATTTTTACAAAATTCTAAATAGTCAATATGAAAAGAAAGTAAGATAAAATTTGAAAATAAAAATGTCTATACTTAAGTTAAAATTCAACAACTAAAAACTAAAATTAAATCCCCTATTTATAAAAGTTTTTGGGGAATACTAAAAATCACAATCAACAAAAGAAGAAAAGGGACGTATTCCACTTAAATTGGAATTTACAATGCGAGAGCAAAGACTGATAATGGCGGAGAAAAAGAACCATCAAAACGTTTGGAACCGGAGAAGGAAACGTTCCTTGCAAGGGACACGTGGCGCGTGCTGAGAGGCGAAGAGGAGGACATGACGACAGTTGGGTCCCATAAGGACACGTGGCGGGACCCACGCGGAAGAAGAAAGAAAACGTGCCTGAAGCTTGCGTGGAAGGAACTCGCCCGGGGGAGGAAGCAGTGCGCGCCAAAAGCGCGTGTGCGAGGGGACAGCTGGGTCCCACGCGGAAGAAGGGAGGGATGCCTTACGCGCGCGTGGGGTGAACTCGCGGCCTGGACTTGGCGTGCATGGAACGCACGCGTGGCTGAGTGGGGAACGTGGGTAACCCGGCAGAAGATGCCACGTGGGGCGGCTGTTGGAGTGGCTCAAACGGCTTGACTCGATGGCGGCTAAGCTTGCTGATGGGCTTCAGATGGGCCTCTTTCTACTTTTTTTTTTTTTTTAAGTTGTTGTCCAAATATCTTATTTCTCTACAAAATAAAATAAATTAAATTAAAATTAAATACTTTCACACTAAATTAATTCCATGAAAATATTAAATTGTTTCCTAATTTATTTAATAATTATGAACAAATTAAGTACATTTTCATGCGTGTATCACATGCCATCAACTAAAACATACTCGTTTTCACTCCCATGTTGGAAAAATGAAAACATCTTGGACTTGCATTTTTAGTTTATATTTAGGGAGTTTTTTCGGTGTTTCTTTTTTTTTTAGAACACCAGTGTTACTTATTTTTTCAACTATTAAATTTAGTTAAAATCATACCAAATTAAAACAAAATATGCAGAACAGACAGATTCTGATATATATCTTAAGACTGAAAAATAAAAAACACTAGTGTTCCCAAAAAGGAGAAAACACCAGAGAAAATCAAGAAGGACCTTTCTCCGTTGTTCTTTCTTTTTGGGAACACCAGTGTTTCCTGCTTTTTCAGCCGTCAAATCTATATCAGAATCTGTCTATTCTGCATGCCTTTTTAATTCAGTGTAATTTTAAATAGATCTAATGGTTGAAAAAATAAGAAACACCGGTGTTCTAAAAAAGGACACCGGAGAAACTCTCGAGAAACTATTGATAAATAATTGCAAACTCTTGGCTGTCATGGCCGGATCGTTGAGGACATTCAGTAGTTTATGGACGATGTTTTGTAACCAAACTCCAAAGATTGTGTTGACTCTCTTCTTGTAACTATGTTGCTCATTTGCTTGCAACTAGTCTCTCTCTAGGAGTTTTTTTTCTTTGCTTTTTCATTTTTTAGCTAGTTCACTCTCTAGGGGAATTTACTGTAAGTCTGTAACTATTTTTCTTCTAGCCAAAAAAATGGTACTTTTAAGGGTATTTTCAACCTTACACAGAAAATAAATAACGCGCAACTAAACAAAATGCTTAATGTCCCGCGTCCTCCCTAAAACACAGAATAGTGGGGTTCCTTCCCTCTCATAATCAACATCAATTGAACGGTAAAGAATATCACAATAGAACACCTCTTTATAAACTCGGTTCAAGTTTGAATCGAGCCTTTAAGCCTAATAATCTGAAGGCTAGATCGGTTTTCGTTGGCTTAATTTTTAAATTTTGTTTCCTTCTTCCTTAGCAAAATTTTTTTTTTCAAATTTTGGATTTTTGTTCTCAAAATATTTATGGGATCTTTATTTTAAGAGTTCATTCTTAATTCTGAATCATAATTTTTAATTCTCTACAGTATTTTTATCTTATAAAAAATTAAAATTTTAAAAATTAAAATCATAAATTGTAATTTTGAACTCATAAATAAATGAGAAAAAAATTAAAGACACGTTTCCAGTGGCTCAAAAAAAGCGGCTAGCCACTTGCTAGTTGCTAGCCACCAGAGAAGTTGCGTCAAGAGCGCGTTGAGATAGGCCAGGTGTACAAGAAGATACGCTCCATGTCTTGGAAGCTTTCAAACTAAGATGGCGTCACATGGATTGCACATGCGTGTTATATGGGTCCCACAAAATATCGATGGTTAGCAATTTTATGCCTCGTTCACTTTGTAAATTCGAGTTTTCAATTCGAGTTGAGATGTGATATTTTTTTAAAGCTTTTTACTATAGCAGAAAAAGTTAGATGTAACATTTTCTAAGAGTTTTTTACTGTAGAAACTTAAAACTGAAAACTCGAATTGGTGAAATAAACGAGGCATTAATAAATACCTTTTAAATGTACATGTTTCAAGATTTTTATTTTTTTATTATTGATTTATAATTTTTTTAGTTAAATAATTATATTAATAAAAAAATATTATTAAAAATAAAAAATAAAAATCTAGATTTATACGTTTTTAAGAATAAATTCTTTATTTTTTTAAAAATTTCCATTGATGTTACTTAAAAAATAAAGTTTAGACATTAATGATAATGAATATTCCTTCCAAGACAAATGATTATAGGTCTATACACGAGATATTAGCCATGGTGATGACTAGATTTTTTTTAATTTTTTTTTTTTAATTTTTGGTTAGAGAGAGATGATGATTAGGATTTGGGAGAGATCATGACATGATATGAATGTCTGATGTGTAAGCTTTTTAAAGTTTGCACCACTTGCAATGTAAATCTCAATTAGAGGTGACAATTCGTATTACGTATCGTATTCGTGTTGTATTTTGATCGTTTTTTTTTTTAATTTACAGTCAATCTGAACACGACCCGTGATACGAATTTTTTTTAAAAATCGCAACACGAACACGATACGAACACTTTACATGTTGACACGACACGACACGAAAATGACCTGTGACACGAAATTGACTCGTAAACCCGAAATTGACATGAAAATTGTATACATTTATTTAGTTTTTTATATATTAGAAATAATTTAAAATTCATAACACACTAAAATACAATAACATCCATTGAAATTAAGCAAATAATAGTATAGGATTTTGAGTATAACTATCATGATATCACAAGTTCATAATAAAATCAAAATTATGTAATGAAAAATATATGTATTTTTTAATTTTTTACGAGTTTCCTGTTATGTTCGGGTTAGGAGGGTCCAACCCGAAATTGACCCGTGTTTTTCGTGTCAATTTCAAGTCGACCCAATTCTGACCTGAGACTCTTTTTTCTCAACCATAACCCACAAAATTTGTGTCGTGTCATGACCTATATTATCGGTTCTAATCTCAATATTGATGTTACAGAGGTTGCTTCTTGCCCTCTTTCCTTTTTTTCGGATATTTATATTTTTATATTTGTATTTTAAATTTATTAAAAATTATACTTTAAATTTTTAATCTCATTAACTACATACCTTTAAAAGGACTAAACTATCATTAACAAAAAGAGAAAAAAAGAAAATGAGAACTTTCTAATACCAAAAAAGTAAAAATAAAAAACATAAAGAAACCCATTTCAAGGGTATTTTGGATATTTTAAAGGTCAAAATTGTTAGTTTTTCATTTACCATTTTTTATTCAAGGGTATTTTACGCATTTTAAAGTTAAAATCGAAGGTTAAACATGAAAGGTATAAATTTGTGTATTAAATCTAATTTTAAAGTATATATTTAATGAGACAAAAAAATAAAGATATATTCTTTTAATAAACCCAAACACGGGGTATAAAATGGTAAATATCCCTTTTTTTAAAAAAGCTATAGTAAATCAAGGTGTTTATTAAATCTTGTTCTGAGAAATGCTATCATTACTCGTTTAGTCACTTTTTGCATTCACTGTTTGACGCGTGGACTCTATTATCTCATTTTTTGTTTGAATAATAATATATCATGTTAGCGCAGTTCACGTGTCAAAAAATGAATGTGGAAAGTGATAAAGAAAGTAACAGAAAAAGTGATGCTAGCATTTCTCTCCTGCTTTTGTCGACTAAATTCTAAGAATTATTGCTCCGCAACAGAATTAAAAAAGTAGGTCGGAGATTACTTTTATGCAACAACATTTGTCATTATCTCAATCTATTAAAATAAAATTAATAATAAAACTTAATTCTCAACCTATTCATTTTAATTTTAATTCTAGCAAAAAAAGCCTACTCATTTTAATTTTTCCATACCAAATAAAAAAAAGTATATTATTTTATATATTTATTTATGTTATTCAATTTATTCGTAGATGTATTATTTATCTCTTTCAATAAAAATAATTTAGTTTTAGAAATATTTTAAATAATAATATCAAAGTTTTTTTTTTTTTTTTTTTTGTATTTTGGTGTAAAAATTATGAATATTGAATTTAAAAGTAGAAATAAAACTAGAACTATAAAAATGGGTTCTAAAATATGTCTATTTACTCATTTTACTTTTCACAATAATTTTATGCACAATTTATTAAGCATTTAATTTTGTGCTTCTAATATTTACAACAACTTTGAAAAAAAATTTATTAAACACCTATATGCTTATCGTAACAATTTATGACTAATAGCATAACATCAGCAAAAATTTTCAACAGCAAGCAAAGCCAAAGACAAACTGACACTTAGCATGTATTATATTTTGTACTCCAACGCATGAAAAGTTTTGCTGGCATTAAGTAATGAAAGAATAAATTTAGGGTGCGTTCGTTTGGCACACAAAACTCGAGTTAGCCTAATTCAGATTGAATTTTGAGCCTAATATCACGTTCGGTAATTCAAACTCAGACTCAAAACTCGAGTTTGAACTCGAGTAATAAAACATCAACTACCCCCTGATATTCCTTTAACTCGAGTCTGTCTTCTACAGTGCAGATTCTCTGCGCATACCTGCTTTTCACATGCCTTGTTACCGTTGCTTGCCATTCATTGTCGTTTCCAAGGTTTGCTGCTTGGCTCACGAGAAAGGGCCCCTCTCCGGTTCTCGCCCTTCGCTTCCCTCATCTCCCATCTGCTACAGTTGCGCCTCCGTGAACCCCAAGGCCGCGTGCAGTCTGCGATGCTATTTTGATCCAGTGGGTTTGTGCAAATCGATGGCCGCGTGAGTTCCTCCTTCCTCGTGCCCCCATAAATCCCTCAATACTCACCCATTTCCTGATTGTGCGCCCAACACGAAACCCTATTTTCCATCTTCTTCAATTTTCAAATCGGACAAAATTGGTCCGCCGAGCGTGAAGTCCTACAGTCCACTGGCAGTATTGTTGAGTCGATGTAGTGTGCAACGTCGTTTCCGAGTGCGTAGGAGTTGTCTCCGGTACCGGTCTTCCCGTCTTCGTTACCGTCGGCGAACTTGGCTGCCAGAACCGTCGGACTCACGGTTGGGGGTTATCGAAGCAGAGCATCAGCACTCCTCTGTCGGCTCAAACACGGTAAAATGTCCCCCCTTGATTTTTTTACATTATCACGAAAACTGGTCTGTGTGTGTGCAATGCAATGCTTTGCATTAATGTTGATTCCACCATTATTTGCGGTGATTAGGATGTGCGGCTAATGATGCTGCCGATTCACAACAACCCAAAATAGCTTAGAAAAACTAGAGCACAATAAGCAAAACAATGGCAAAAAAGACAGATTTTTTGCCATTGTTTACAGAACATAAGAACAGCCAAACGACCCTAAACTCAAGTTTTGTGTGCCAAACGATCGCCCCAACTAGTATGTCGTTACATATGAGATCTGTCGTTTTTGGCTGTCCAAGCAGAGCATCAGAATTTGTTCCTTTTTCTGAGTTGAGCATGCATCCCCTGAACACGATTTTTATGAAAGGTTGTAACTGTTATAATTAACAAATCTGTTAGTTGACTGTTGACGGTCATATAATCTTCATTGTTAGATCATAACCATTTGATAATAGATTCAAATAAATTCTAAAGACAATTGAATTTGATGATCGATCGAATCAATAGCAGATTAAATCTAAAAAGTGCAAGCAAAAAAAAAAAAAAAAAAAACTCCTTGCGACGATGCATACATGTAAAATGCACCCTTATAAACACAATCACATTAGCAGATTAGGAGCATATACTTAATACATACAAGCATTTTCTTGTTACACACATTTTTATATAGAGCATTTATCTTCCTTTTCTTAAATATCAAGTCGTTTCTCAAAGCGTAACAACAAGCAATATGAGAGGAAGTACACCTTGGAAAACACTCCAAAAACAACACCATCAACCTTCCATACAATATCCCTAACTCCGAGATAAGGAAGATCGTCAATCTAAGTAGCATCTACGTTGAGCTTTATAAGCAGACCAAAAACAAGGACACCAAGGAATTTTTAAAGTTCAAGGGAGAGATTAGAAAAAATTTTAAGGAGAAGAATTAGACTTAATAAGAGACTGGACTTCCATCTTAAAAAGTCAACCTATTAAGTGAGGTGATCTAATACGTGGTTATGTTTATATTTAGAAGATTTAGGACTCGAGTATTTTACCCTTAACAGGAATAAGTTAGACGTCTATCATTAAGTTTTTTTTTTTTTTGGGTGTACTTTTGTGATTTGTATACATTTAAGACAACAAAATTTTTATTAACGGATCAAGTGTGGTCATTGATGTAAATAGTTTTTATCAGGGATACTGTTGTAGATAAATTTGGTTCAAAGTCTGTTGGTATAATCTCAATTGAAATACAGTATTCAGGTAACTTGTAAACCACATTCGAACCATTAAAAGAAAAGAAGAAAAAAAAAGTCTCATACGAAGAATACTTGACTATTATCCTTAAAACGATAAATATATTGTTTTTTTGAGTAAAAAAACGATAAATATTTTGAGGAAAGCAAGGTATACTTTTCATTATATTATCTTTATTGAGCACACTTACAAATATAATTAGATACAGCGGCGGAGATAGGTGAGGCCTAGGGGCAGCTCTTTAAATATTTGCTTCCCCCCCCCGCCCTCAAAATTTTTTAATTTTCTTCTTTCATTTGTCCCCCTAAAAATGTTTTAATTACAACATTTCCATGAATTTTTTTTATTAAAAATTTCAGTTTTACTCTAAGTTTTAATTCTTTTAAGTACTCTTATTTCTAATAAGTCAAAGATACAAAGAGATAAATGAAGGTAAAAAGACTATTGTGTTGTAGTTTAGCTCCATTTTTTTGTTTCATGCATGCCCCCCTCAAAAAAAAATTATGGCTCCGACACTGATTGGATAAAACAGTAATAAAAGTATCAATGATTTACCTCCTTGATACTTGATAGGATAAAATACATATAATAAATGTTTTTTGTTAAGTAATTAGTTTCTTCAATGTGAGGATTACTTTGGTGCTGGGGGCTTAATCGTACCCCTGCCCCACTATTGTTGATGTCTAATTTCGATTCAATATTCATGTGGTTTTTGGTAATGTAATTTTGTAGAAGTACTGTACCATAATTTCGATTCAAGATAAAGAATCATTTCTTGTAATGCCAAGACATTCAATTCAGTCCTAAATTTTGCTATCCCGTTTTATAGGCTATTCTTTTGTCTAAAGTATTCCTCCGTAAATTAGTTGGCTATGCAAAAATTTAAATTCTACTAAAGGTACGCAGTCGACTAAGTCGAGATAAGATCTTAGTGGTTTGGAGGTTTAAAGAGCTACTGAGCATCATTTCTGGGCTGAACTTGATATACATGGCAAAAGAAATTTATACTATTGCAGCCAATAAATAAACTAGGATGGAATAAAATCACCCTGACTCACTTTTGTTAGCATCCTTTTTGCAAGTATGTGATAATGCCGTTGTCAAATTCGTTGTCCGACCATTGTAGCCACCAAGACACTATAAAATATTCCAATTAAAGTAAAAAGTCCCAGCACAATCAATGCCATTATAAACAGCAATGGTAGCCCTGCTTCACCAGCACCTCCTAGGCAACCACATTCACCTGCCATACTTGCACAGCTCTCAAAGCATGTGGTGCAGTCGGTCCACATACAAAGAGTGCCGGGTAAATGACAGTCCGCACAGACACTACAAGAATTACAAACAAGCCGGTTACCATGTTAGGTACTGAGTATTATAGGGCCATTTACAAGGTTCAGTTAGTACTACATAGTACATACATCAAAGATAGCAATAAAAAATAATAAATAAAAATAAAATAAAATAAAAAACTCGCTTCGTTGTGGCACACTCATGACAGCCTATAATCACCATTATATCACCGGAGGAAGTACATTTGCTAGATCCAGTAACCAAGCCAACAACCCCATTGCTTTATTTACTAATAAGTTAAATAGCCACAAAATTCGGACTTGGTTGTTCACAGTTTAGTCCCAAATCGTGTTGTCCTTGGCTTTGGTCCATTGTCTGTTTTGTTTTCTTTTACTTCCCTTGTGTTTATATATATATATATATATATATATTTATAGTTATATACAATTGTGCGTACGTGTTTTTGTTTGTGGCTTCTTATTTGTGCGGGATGATGCTTTTGGTGTGTGGTGGTAGATGCCAAGAGGGGGCAATGATGAGGACACGACTCTTCATTGGAATCAAAAGCAGAAGGAGGAGTTGTTGCAACTCCTAGCAGAGTATAACCGTAACTACCATGGTCGGAAACCGGTCCAGAAAAATTGGGAAGATTGGGCTACTAAGCTACAAAAACATTTTAAGGATCCAGTTACGGCGGCCAAGGTTCAACAGATGCGAGTGCGTCTAAAAGGCAAGTTTGATAAGGAGGTTATACTACGTACAACCACAGGCCTTGGTTGGGATCCTGTGACAGGCGCAGTGACTTGTACGGACGAGTATTGGGAAGATTTTGCTAAGGTAATCACCAGTTGTTTGTTTTCCTTTCCCAAATTATTTATCATCAGTTAGAACATGTGTTCAACGTGCGTTAGCTTATGTGGATGTTATTTTTCACACAGAACAAGAAGTGGGCTAATGCTGCGAAGAAGCATCCCCTTAAAAATTTTGACTTGTACTACGAGGCCTTTGGTAGTACCCGTGCATGTGGTGAATTTGCGGTGGGATTGGAAAATCCCACCACCGCGCACGTAGACACAACTCCAATCCCGGCTGAAGAAGGTGAAGGGGGGGCGACGTCGCATTCGTTAGGCAGCGATGACGTTTTTGTGACCACGATGCGAGCTGGGTTGAACAGTACTAGGAAGGGCTTGAATGTTGCATCCACCTCTAAGGCAATTGGTAAGAAATCTGGACGCAGTCAGAAACGTCCGGTTGGCGATCCAGAAGCAAGGGCACTACTTGGACGACTTGTAGCCTCTATAGAAAGTAAGAATAGTAGCAGGGCTACCAGTTCCAGCGCTTCTCAGAACCCTGCGACCCCTACCACTCTGCGGCAGTGTACAGCGATTGTGAAGGAAATGGATCTTGAAGATGACACTGTCATAATATTCTTAGAGGCCATTGGGTGGTTTCCACACATGCAGCAACTCTTTTTGGATATGACAGAGACGCAAAGGGTTGGTTTCGTGATGAGAACCGTTACCTCTAAAACGAGTCAATCTACCCAATCTTGCACCATGCCCCCTCCATCCATGGCTTCCAACTTCATGCAGCCCCCTATATATCAAAACTTCATGCCGACACCCAACTTTTACCAACAACCGCCAATCTATGGCCAACAACCTCCTACCTTTGGCCAACCACAAGTACCCAGTTTCTCTCAACCCCCTCACCACGTGCAACCACAACACCCACCAATCCAAAACATGACCCCAAATGTTACTCCCCATCCCCCTAACTTTCAATGTCCACCACCCTATTACATGCCTAGTTTTCCACCTAACTCTGGTCATTTTGGTGGAGGAAACAATGAGGAGTAGCTACTTGTTAGGCTTTTTAATTATGAGGCTCTTTGTTTACGAGACTTTTTATTTATGAGGTTTCTTATTTATGAGGCTTAGACAGTGTCGGACAATTTTCTTAATTATGAGGCGTTTAACTATGTTGTAATCATTTATTGAGTTGTGTTGTACTTCGAAACTATTACTTCGTTTGCTTTCTCTTTCAATTAGTGTTCTGATGACATGATGCAATTTGCATTAATGACTTTACTTGGTAGTGACTCTTATACTTTGCCATTACATTATTGCACAATTTCAACATTAACTATGTTGTACTTGTGACTTCTACTATAGCAGATTTGGCGAACAGGTTGTAATGTGGAACGGAGGGCCTTCGAACGCGTCGCCTGACAACACAATAGACGATGACTCAGATGATGACTATGAGACAGCAGGTGTCGCGGCTATGCTCTGGTATTACCAAACCTACGTTGAGAGACCCCCACCTCAACCTAAATTGGTAACCTCGTTGTTCTTAATTGATTACAGAATTGTGTTGGAGCTCTCGACGGGACTCACGTCCCTTGTGTTCCACCATCAGGTAACCCCGAAGTATGGAGGAATAGGAAGGGTTTTTACTCCCAAAATGTGTTAGGGGTATGTTCATTTGACATGAAGTTTACCTACATATTAGCTGGATGGGAGGGATCGGCACATGATGCGCGCGTTCTTTCATCCGTAGTGGGGGTACGAGAAAAAAAGTTCCCAACTCCACCGCCCGGTATGTCAATCCCAATCCTTGCTATATATGTTGATAAACAAGCATCATCGTTGGTTGCTTGACTTCACTAAAGAGTTGGCCGTACTTAATTATTGCTTTGTAATGGCGAATGCAGGTAAATACTACCTTGTAGACTCTGGCTACGCGAACAACGATTGTTTCTTGGCGCCGTACCGGGGGAGCACATATCACCTTCAAGAGTATAGGGCAAGACGTGGGCGTCCTCGAACTCAGCGTGAGTTGTTCAATTACACGCATTCGTCCCTAAGAAATGCTATTGAGCGCACTTTTGGTGTTTGGAAAGCAAGGTTCCGCATACTCAAGTGCATAAATAATTACCCAATAGAGAAACAGATACAAATTCCTATTGCTTGTGCTGTGCTTCACAATTTCATACATATGTACAACAATAACGATGAGCTACTGCACCAGTACACACGAGACGGAGTTCCAGTTTTTGAAATTGATCCAGAAAATGCAGATCAAGATGTTAATCAGAATCACAATCCTGATCGCGGAACGGAACAAAATCAGAACTCCGCACATCGTAGACAAATGAATATTTTGAGGGACGAGATGGCAGCTAGCATGTGGGCGGCATTGGAAGCATATCGCAATCGGTAGTTACATATTTGTTCCGCAATTTTGACTACCGTATTTATTTTACAATACGTTGTAATGAACTTATGGACGTTTCTGTTATTTATGTATATAGGTGTATTAATGTGTAGTCAAAAAATCCATGTCAATACTTGCAAAATTTTAGAGTTATGTTTTTGTCAAAGTGAACATAAAACTCAAGTTCACATCTCACAAATCATCCAAGTGAACACACAATTCAAGTTTCAAACACAATTCCAATTAAACTCACTTTTTTAACTCCAATCTTGAATTTGGAGTTATTGAAAAGAACGCAACCTTAGAAAAAATTAAAATAAATAAATTAAAAAAACACAAACCTAAAACTCAAAAAAGCCCAAGCATTATTGCTGCGGATCTATTGATCTTCGTCGGGCATAAAATTGCTTTGGATATTAAAAAAAAATAAAAGAGAAAATTGTATAATTTATCTATAAGAATGCATGAGTCTAAATTCTTACTCCTTATTTTTAATTCACCCTTTTAGTAGTATAATTATTTGACAAAAAATATTATTAATAAAAAATAACATGCACCTTTTAAAAGGTATTGGTCTCATTTCCTCTTAAAAAGCTGGTTTATCTTTTTGTTTGTCCCCTGATTATGTAGGCTTTCATTTGGCTAGAAAGTCAACCAACTCGTGTTTTGTCCTGCCCTGATGTAGGAAGTCATGCGGAGCTCATCGGTAGCGCGTACGATGTCACAAAAGACTCCTCGATCTACGTCCTGAACGAACTTGGCCTCCCACTCTCTTAGCACTTACGCTACACAACTTGGTTTTGGAAGATATGGCACTAAAAGTTATAGAGCTAGTCGTCTTTCATATCGAGCCAATGAAGCAGCGCATCGGGCTACAATTGGACAATTCCATCGTGCTATGAGTGAACAATTCCGAAGAAATAGTAAGATATGGGTAAGAGTTTTCATATATCTCTCTATTACCAGGAAACCCACAAAAGTCAAAATGGGAAGAGAAAAAGGAAATCCTACAGGTTGGATTGCTCGTGTGTCTACGGGACAAATCCTATTTAAAATGGATGGTGAGTTTGTCAAATGCTCGACAAGCCGCTACATTAGCGGCTCATAAACAGGCTCCGTTCACTTCGCTGATTCGAGTTTAGAATTCGAGTTGAGATGTAACTTTATGTGAGAACTTTTTACTGTAGCAAAAAAGTTAGATGTGATTGTTTGTGAGAACTTTTTACTGTAGAAAAACTCGAATTCTAAACTCGAATTAACGAAGTGAACGAGGCTGTTCGTCAACCAAGTTTATGCAGGGGTCGTAACATAATGGGTTAGTGAGGAAAAATCGGGCATTTCCTTTCCCAGCGAAAAGACTCAGTCGTGGCTCCCTTTGTCCTTGTAACTGGTCTGCTTCTTGCACCCCTCGAGAATGGCGCTTGCATAAATATTAGTGATTAAAAAGGGAAAATTTTCTGATTATCGTCAATGATAATCACTATAGGTTTTTTAGCTAATTACAGATTGACATGTAAAATAATGCCGGATCATCTCTTATAATTTAGTGAGTCACATAACATTTGAATTTGTGACTTGTTGAAAAAACATACACAACTGAGCAAACGTGCTCTTCAGGTTTTCTTACTATATGTATGCCATTTTAACAAGAAATACGAAGCAAAAGTTTACTAACCGTTTAGCGTTATAGAATTAACAACTAGAAACCAAAAAATATACACGTTTGTTTTCTTTTTTGAAAAACAGAAAGCAGTACCAAGCATTGCTGCAACATCCGCTGTTTGAAATTGTTTCATTCACACACACAGAAAGGTATCATTTTCAGTTGAATCTATAATGAATTGCCGAATTGGTGAGAACTGAGAAGATGTCGATATCTGCAATATAATAATTTCACACACCAAGAATATCTTTTTTTTCTTTCCTTTCCTTTTTCTTTTTCTTCTTCCTGAGTGAAAAAATCACAGAAGATACACAGCCATTAGAAAGGGCAGGCATTTGGAAACATCTTCAAAACATACACCAACTTATAATTACAGGTAACAGGAGGGTAAATGAGTTCCCCCATAGCATGGGTAAATTCGGCTACTTCACTTTCAAAGGTTCTACAATCATTGAGCAGTTGGCCGAGGCAGTCGTTTCGCCATTTCCTGTTTTTTTTTTTTAAATAAAAAATAGAAAAAAATGACCACTCTCAGTTCACATAGGATCTTTAAAGATCGAGACAAATAATACAATCTAACCATGGCTTCCACTAAATCCGTAGAAGCTTATGAGCAAGATTAACTTCCCCGGCAGTACCCAAAGTCAAAATAGAATATGTTTAGAAGCCTTTATGTATGTAAGCAGGGAAACCAACAGAGATTATCCTATATCTTTCCAACTTGCCATACTAGTATCCAATCCATATTCCCGCGGATGTGAGGCCTAATTAAGTTTTGAGAGATTCAAGTGCATGCTAAAGAAAAATGAACGGCAGGATATATTTCTTACAGAATGTTAATAAACTTTCAACCCTATTCAAAAAAATTCCCAAAGCATGTTGTAGTGCCGAATTAACCTATGTGTCTAAGATCCTTAATTTAAGATTTTTAGTTGATATGCGGCGATTCACATGATGGCCCAGGTTAGAAACAAATTAAATGGTAATTGTTTTTAATAAAATATGGGAAGTAATAGCAGTTTGTTGTATTTTTAATTTAAAGACTGGCCATCAAACATAAACAAATATAAAATATAGTATAAGGATTCTCGGATGAATACACCAGCCGTAAAAATCAGAAATACCTCAAACAGTTGATTGATGTTATCTGCAGTCTTTGCAGATGTCTCAATAAAGAACATCCCGTTCTTTTCCGCGTAGTCCATGCCATCCTACACAATTCAACATTTGTACATCAGCTCAATAAATGTCCTCCTTTTACTTGATATAGCGAAATCTATACTTAATATTCTACTGGACGTTTGTAGAATTTCACTCACTTGAACTGGTATTTCCCGTTTCTCATGAAGATCGGCTTTATTACCAACCAAGGCCATAACTATATCAGGGCTCCCATGTTTTTGCAGCTCCTGTAGAATGCTTAGCTTTATCAATTACTTGGATAGAAAATTCCATGAAAACCTAACTAGATATAATTAATGGATTTCAGGTTTTCAAAATAGTTGAATATGAATCTAAATTCATTTTTTCACTTCTAGCGATCAACAGGGAGATAGTCATCAAGCATTTAACCCAGTCATCACAGATGTGACCTACCCAATAATAAACTTACTCCAACTCTACGTCAAAAACTTCTGACTCTACAAACATACTACATTCATATACTTTGAAGCCAATTCCAATCCCAATGACATATAGTTCCTATGTTATGAACTTCCACATAAGGCAATTCAACAAAAACGTTAAATTACCTTCACCCAATACTGCGCTTTGGAGAATGAGTCTGGGCTTGTTATATCATATACAACAACGGCAATTGCAGCACCTCGGTAGTAAAGGGGAGCCAATGCAGCATATCTACATGGAAAACAATCGACTAGTGAATTTCAATCGGAAAATGTGAATCCAAGGAAGAGTACTTAGGAAAAGTATGTAGGAAACATGCAGAACTAAATGACATTTTGAGATGAAAATTTCATATAAGATGACAAATGCAAGTGATTATTCAGAACATGAATGTGCAAAAAATTCAAGATGTTTAACAATTACTCGGTCATGAATACCTCTCTTGCCCAGCAGTGTCCCATATTTCGAACTTCACAGTCGTAGAATCTTGCAAAGCTATTGTCTGTGACAAGAAGGAAGCTCCAACAGTGACCTGAAATCGCAAAAATAAGAAAAATTTGAAATTACCCTTCGATGAATTTAGCATTTAATAGTGATTTGTACCTCCTCATTTCTTCCAATATGCTTGTTCAGAGCCTTATGTCTAAATCCATATCCTTTTAATCATTTTCATGTCAATAATGTTATCTTAGAGCTATCTTGGACCAAGCAAACAATAGCTATGAACCCAAATGCAAAATTAAGGGGAGAGAGTCCATATCCTTTTAATCATTTTCATGTCAATAATGTTATCTTAGAGCTATCTTGGACCAAGCAAACAATAGCTATGAACCCAAATGCAAAATTAAGGGGAGAGAGTCCATATCCTTTTAATCATTTTCATGTCAATAATGGGAGGAAGAGAAGAGAGAAGGAAAAGGAGAGGGGAGAGAGAGAGAGAGAGAGAGAGAGAGAGAGAGAGAGATGTTTTCTCAGATAAACACAACTGAATTTTTTTTAATTATTATTATTATTATTATTTTATTTTTTTACCTTGGACGTTGGATCGAATTGGCCGCGAACAAATCTGAGTACAATACAACTTTTACCAACTCCAGAATCACCTAACAGAACCAGCTGTGACCAGTCACAAATTATGAGATGGTCAATTGCATTGCATTTAATACTACTACAAATCTCAAAATAATTATAGAAAATAAAAACTTTATCTTGACTTTTCCTTTGAATTTAAATACTTACTCCAATGAAAAAACAAAAACAAATCTTCCAATCATCAAGAACATGAAGAACCCAACTCAAAAAATACAAAAAAAATCAAAATAACTATCAATTTTTCCAACAATCAGGTCTAATCTTTCTTACTTTTACACGAATATTTTTCGAATCCGATGCGCCACCGTTCTCCGAATTTTGACCCACCAGCCTCGCACTCGCAGAACCCCTATCTGCAGACCCAAAAATCCCAATCCAATTAAATTCAACAATTATCCCCATAATCAATTAATGATCAACAAATAAGCTCGATTAAAGCTAAAATCGGTATAAATTTCAACACTTTCAGCTCATGAATCCAAAGAATCGACGAAACTAAGGTAAGGGTTTCAAATGGAATCAACCTTCAAACTGGATAAAAAACCACTATTGGGATCAAATTGGTTAGGGATTTACCTGGAAGAGACGATGAACAACCCATTTGAACGGCGGAAATTCCCTGATTAAGGAAGTGGTACGCACAGGAAGGCGATCAGATGGTATGGTACAATTTGAACTTCAAGACTTGCCCTTTTCTGCCACAGGTGAACGATAGAACACAGAACAAAGCACCCGGGTCAAGATTGTTATTTCGTTATTATTATTATTTTTTTTTTGGGCTTGGATATTTTATCTTTATTCCTTTAATATTGTTTTTTAAATTAAATTGTATTCTAGGTTTTCTTCATCAGAAGAGAGAGATAAATGGTTTTTTTTTAAAATAAAATAAATATGTACTTGGTTATTTTAGGTTGCTTCTTAATTGAGGCTTAAATTAGAATTGAAAACATAATATATATATGTTTTTTTTTTGGTTTGGAAAATGATTTTCTTGTCTTCCATATTGCAGTTTGACCTTAAAAAAAAAAAAAAAATCTTGTGCCCTTGAAAGCTTGCTGCCGTTTCTATGGAAAGGAGACATTTTATCTGTCGTTTATTGAAAAGAAAGACGTGTCCCTTTATTTTAGAAGTTTGGACTTTGTAAGCTCTCTAAAAAAAAGTTTATATCTCCTAAAAAAAAAAAAAACTGTTTTTGACCCTTTCATAAAACGACATGTCATTGTAAAGTTAAAATCATCTATCAAATCTGAACGGCATATCGTCGTTTCAATTAAAAAAAAAAAAAAAAAAAGTCTGTCGTCTTTAATCAATAAACTGCATATTGTTTGTACTCTGAAACTTTCGTAGTCGTTTTCAACTCGTCCACAAGTTTTTTTTTTTTTGGTCATTAAAGTAAAAGACCATTTTGCCACAAAGGAAGGGGAAAAACAAAAAAAGAAAGCTAAAAGACCAATCCAAAATAGGCATGAATGTTCAAAAAATTGATAAAACTAACCAAATCAAAGCAATTTACTTTCGTTTAGAATCTTTTTTTTTTTTTTTTTGTTTTGGTACCCACTTTTAAAATTTCCGACCGTCAAATCCATCAAACTGACCAATTTTTTTTTTTTTCATATATATTTTTCAATACTTGTCATATTTCTTTATATGCTCATACATATGATAAGAAAACTAGAAAAAAGTTAATAGTTAAATTTATACAATCTACTAAAATATAATGTATTCTACTTATAGGTTGAAACAGGTTAAATATGAGTTATAATTTTTTTTATAATAAATTTCAAATAGATCAAACCGACCAAAAAGTAAATCAGCACTTTGATTTTTTATTTATTTTTATTTTTTAGTTTCCTTCAAACCTACTGATCTGGTATTGAGAACCCCTAATTCGGTTAAAGATTTTTTTCCATTTAAATAGTTTGTTGACATTTTAGGTGGAATGATCAACGATATTGATATTTGTTAGCTAGATACTTGATGTTTGCAAGTTGAATAAACGACATATAGTACAGTGGTTTTCACCAAAAAAAAAAAAAAGAAAACAACAACCAACACTGACATGTCGTTTTGTATTAGCAGTGCGTTATATTGGCTTCTGGCTTATATGATTATACGACATATCGTTTTCATTTGAATTTTTTGTGTTTAATAAACAATTTGATATTATAATTAGCAGTCCATTTATTGCTTATGTAGAAACGCGATATTTTTTAAAATTTTTAAGACTATTAAACACTGTTGTTTAATTGATTTCTAAAGGCTTGTTAAAAATTTAAAAAAAGTAACTCGAGTTATAACTTTATTTGAGTTTATGTTCTTTTAAGTTTAAACTCGAGTTTAAACTCGAGTTCAAACTCGAGTTTAGGACTAAAACTTGAGTTCAAGTTTCCCCTTCAACTCGAGTTCAGAAACTCAAACTCAAATTAATGAACAGTATTTTTTCTATTCTTAAAAATGCTATAATTTTTTCGTGTTGATTCTGATTGAGATGATTTTTTTTCTATGCGTTGACAACGAAAAGACGAATAAAACCCGACCCATATACCATATTAAAATTTTTCATCAACATTGAGTTTTTATTAAAATACTATCTAAATATAAATTCAAGTTTTGACTCACTCAAACACAAACTCAAAAAGATTCTTATCTCAAACCATAACTCAAATGTACACAACTAAATACAAACTCAAGTCACAAGTTCAACTCAAGTTTTAACTCAAATTCAACTTAAGAATTATACTCAAGTTAAACTCCAAAAGAACAAGTCATTGTTTACGGAGAAAATTAATGTTCGCCCCAACAACTTGAAAACCTTTTTTTTTTTTTGGCACATCATTGATCTTACAACTCTTTAACGTTTAGGGAAAAAAAATGTACAAGAGATGAATAGATAATAATTCGAGTACAAACAGTTTAAATTAGCAGCGATTATGCATATAGATAGGTCTTTTTTTTTGGCGCTACTTTTTGCTATATTTTCTGAGACTTAAAACATTGCCTTAATGTTTCATAAAAAATATATTATATATATATATAGCGCCACTATGATTTCCAAAGGGTCAAAATTCGAAGATAATAAGTGATCAACACTTCCATCTACGCTCTTAATTGTCTTTGTAGTGACTTGTTTGTGCATTTTATTACTCTTTTGGATTATAATTACTTGTGTCTGGAGACAAAGTCATCACCTAATTACTACAGAGTGTGCTAATAAATATAAGATCACCTTATTACCATAGAGTGTGCTAATAAATATAATATGGAATGATAATAAATATAAGATTACCTTATTACCATAGAGTGTGCTAATAAATATAAGATTGAATGATAGTTTAGAGATAATCTCAAGCGGACTAAAATTACCTGTCTAAAAATTGTTGTCCCAAATCATGTGTACCGAGTAAAAAAAGGTCATGTCATTAATAAGTTAACAACACTACAACGTTAGTTAGCCGTTGGATTAGATTTAGGCCCAAAGGCTCAAAATTGATAAAGTATAAGGCCCATGATTCGAGTCTACAAAATTGTGTAGATTAAATTTAGTCAAGTGGTTAAATGGTGACCAAGTAAAATAAATAGCCACAAATTGGTCAATTATTAACCACAAGGTTTTTGTTGCCACGGTTCGTTCTTAGAGCTTATATAAAGGTGCTTGGAGGAAAGGCTTAAACATCATATTCTCACAATTCAGAGAGAATTTCCATAGTGTAAGAGAAATTTAGGGCGCGTTTGAAATTATTTTTTAGTTGTTTTAAAAAATTATTTTCGCACGTCTTTTGAGGCATGAAAACGGAAACGGTCTACAAATCGTTTTTATTCAATAAAAATTAAAAAACGGAAACGAAAATAAAAAACAATGAGAATGATTTTTGTAAAGAAAGTAGAAAATGATTAAAAGTTGTTTTCCCTTTTATGTTTTCATTTTCTAGTACTTATCAACAATGTTATATTAAATAATTAATTATTAATTACTACTTATATTATATATTATATATTAATTAATAAATAGATATACTTAATAACTAATAAATAGATAGTAATTACTTAATTATTAATTAAATATTAATTTATTACTATTATGTTTTTTAATTTTATTAATAATATAATAAATAATTATTTAGTTAAAGAAATTACTGAATTTATAATTAATATTAAATTATAATTATCAATATGTAATTTGCTAATCAATAATAATTAGTAATTAATCATTATAAAAAAATAATTATTAAAAACTGATCATGTTATATATCAAATAATAGATTATTAAATAAATATTAGTAATTAATTAACTAATTATTTAATTATGTAACTAAAAGTTAATAATTTAAGTAGTAAACTAAATATTAATAAATTATGTATATATTAATTATTTTTCTTAATAGACTAATTAATTAATTATAATCTAATAAATATGAGTACATTACTAACATAGTAATTACTTATAATTAATTATTAATTAATATTTTTGAATGATTTAACATATTAATTTATTATATATATAGTTTAATTACTAATGTACTCATTAATGATAATTTATCTATTATTATTATATTATTAATATATTAATTTTTATTTGCTAAATAATTATCAAATGTTAATTACTTAATATAATAATTTAAGATTATTAATTACATGTACTCAAAACAAACATAAATGTAACCAAACACGATTTCACTTTTTTCATCATACTCAAACTAATCTCTTGAAAGACCATCAAACGTAATTTCAAAATCGATTCCAAAATAATTTTCAAAACAATCTCATTTTTATTTTTGTATTGAAAACAAAACCATTATGAAAACATTACCAAACGAGCCCTTAGTTTCTCTATTTTTTCTTCTTTTGTAAGGTGTTTCTCATATTTACATGAGAGAGTGATTTTGCATTATTCTCTCTATGTAATTTAGAAAGAATGTTATAATTCATATTTTTTTATAGTAAAATCCTTCTATACTTATCCCGTCATTTTTATCACATCTCCTTTAAGAATTTTTCATATAAAATTCTTTGTCTCCATATTATTTTTATTTATACTTATTTTTTATTTTACCACCGTTTTTACACTCACTGTGCAGAATATTTTCCTCCGACAGATGTTGGTCTATTGGCGAAGACTGTAGGATGAAGAGAGCGAAGAAAAGCTTGACGGCGAGACCGTCGGATAAGATGCCGGAGGGAACAGATTTTTCTTTCCAAAATATTGATTTATGAATTAACAGATTTAGTGAATGCCTTTGAAAGTAATATGGAGCAATTTTTTGTCTTCAAAAAAATTTTTTTTTTTTTTTATAGGTAAGACTCTTACCATAAGAGTTTTTGTTTTCAAGTTGAATGCCTTTGAGAGTAAACTGGAAGTGTTTTTGCTCATCTGAACCTTGAAGACAGAGCAAAACGCTTGCTCTTCTTTTTCTTTTTTTTTTTCTCAAAGAAAATAAAACAATGAAAACTGACGTTTGCTCCGTTAAATGATTAACACATCATTCATTTCACCGATTCAAGTTTTCAATTTTAAGTTTTTACAGTTAAAATCTCTCAGAAAATATCACATCTAACTTTTTCTACTACAGTTATAAAAACTCAAAATGTCACATCTCAACTCGAATTGAAAACTTAAATCTGCAAAACGAACGAGGCCTAAAGTTAAATAATGACATGGCTTTTTTTTTTTAGAACCCCATTCATTTTACCGATTCGAGTTTATAATTCGAGTTTTATTATAGTAAAAAATTTTTAA